AAATAACCCGCTGCGTGCGCATACCCACCGTCAGCGAACTGACTGTGCAAGGCACAGACGTCGTCGTCCGGCTTCCCGGCGACTACGACCTTTGGGTGCGGTTTCCCTCGAACGACGCTTCGCACCGGTTTCAACGCGTGCTGTCCCAGTTGTATATCCACAGCGCCAAGTCGCATCTTCCCATCAAGTCAGTGCCGCCGAACGCTAGTATAGGAGACGCCCACCATCCTGTGCAGCTGACCCGGCCGGACAACAAGCCGATCTACCTCGATCCCATGACGCAGCTGGAGCCGCCGCTGGAGCGGCCGCCGCCGCCGCCCAGCCTGCTGTCGGAGGCGGACACGCGGCACAAGGCGCGGGGTGTCATCCCGGCGCCGCCTTCGGTCGAGAGCGACGACGCGGGCACCTCTGTCGGGGCCCCGCCGCCGCCGCCGCCGGACGACGACGAGCTGCCGGACGACGCGTTCGGCGCGGCGTCCACCTCCAGGGACATCGTGACTTCCGGCTCGCCCGACTACCCAGTCGTTGAACTCCTCCCTCCCTCGTCGCAGCCTGGCGTCAACCCGAAGGTCACCCACGGCGTCGTGACCCTGTCGCGCAAGCAGCTGGCCGCCGCCCACGGGGGCCCGATCAAAATCAACCTCCAAATCGTGCACCAACGTATGCAGAGAAGTAGTTTCTTGAGTGGGATAAACACACAGTCTTTTTCCCTCCGAGGGTTTTTTGTCGCAAATGAATCCCCGTGTGCAGCGGGCGGTGCCCACAGCACACCGGACCAAGCATCCATGCGGAGCATCAACCTCGTGCAACAGCCAGCGCACACGTATCAGGCTGCCACGCAAACCCACATCATCGCACACACACTTATCATGTTACCACAAAACGCACACGCACCCTCTCCGGTAGCTCCCGGTCCGCTGACCTCCGCGGTCTTTGAAAAGTTAACCCGATGGTAACCCAAGTCCAACAAAGTGTAGCAACATCCACAGAAAGTACGTGCGCTCGGCTAAAGACCGGCGCGGGGCGAGACTGGAGGCAGCAGTTAAAGTTCGGGGAACAGAAAAGTTCGGGCGAAGCTAAGTTCGGGCGAAGCTAAGTTCTGGTGAAGCTTAGTTCGGACGGCGCTAAGTTCGAGTGATAAGCTAAGTTCTGGTGCTAAGCGCTGGTACTAAAAAAAGTTCGGGCACGAAGCGAAGTTCGGCCAGGGTGGTAAAGTCCGGGTGAAGCTAAGGTCGGTGCTTGTACCCGGAACACCCCCCCCCGTCCCACCGAGCACGGGTAAAGTTTGGCGCTGGTACCCGGGGGGGACACCCCCCGGACCCCCCCCGACCACCGAGTACGGGTAAAGTTTGGCGCTCGAATCCGGGGGGGAACACCCCGGATCCACCGAGCACGGGGGGGGCGCCCTGGGAACCCTTTCCCGCCGCCCTTACCTCCGGGTGCCGGCGGGGTGACCCAAATACCGCGAGATACCGAGAAACTCCGCAAAAAAACGCATATTTCGGGCACATTAGACCCCGAAACGCAACCTCGCAACAATCTTCGACCGGAAAAGTGTCATGGGCGGGGTTCGAACCCGGGCCTGCCGGCCTGAAGGCCGAAGCCAGCTCACTCGCTCACTCTGCCACCCCTATGCTCTTGGGCAGTGGAGGGGGAAAAAAGCTAGCTCCTCACTAAATCGAGTCAAAAACAGTACACTTTCAAACTTGTTTACAGAAAAGTGGGGTTGGCTCGAACAGAGGCTATTCACATTGCATGTTCATAGGACCTCCAGTCTCGAAAATAATGTATAGTTGTAGCCAGCGGTGGGTGGCAGAGGTACAGCGGGTGGTAGGGCAATGGGTAGAGGGTTGGTAGCTGTGTACAGCGCGTGGGTGTCTGTAGTGGGAATATTTTGAGCCCAGAGGTCCTATGAGGCGTATATCGTCAAGTTGGATTCCTTACGTTTCTGTAGTGGCAATATTTTGAGCGAACTCCTCATATCCTCTCGCCACTAGCGAGGTGGGAGGGGTATAGCAAAAACTGACAAACGCAGGCCCCGCCGTTTGCCCCCTTTTGTACCCCCCCCAAACCACAGGGTTTCAAACCATGGAGTCCTGGACTCCTTTCCCACACTCCTTCTGCGAAGCAGACGCACAAAGGGACAGTGCCACGGCATGATTCGGCAGCCGCTGCTAAACGAAGTGGTTCATGTACTTAAAAGAACTCAACACTAAACGAACATCGACGTGGGCGGCATAGAGAAAGAAGAACTACTCTACGGCACCAGAAAGTCCAAACATACGATGGTAAAGAAAGTAGAAGGAGAAAAAAGAAGTTGCCGACAACGAAAGAAAGAAAAGAAGAGAAAATAAGACTCTGCATTCCGCGAAGAAGACTTGATGCTAGCATCAAACACGTGAGAGTGCAAGTAGCGCCTGAACACGAAACTAAGATTTTCCCCCCTTAGCGGAACAGAGGAGAACGGAGCCACAGGCGTGCTCTCAACTTCCCAGGAATAATGGAAGGAACGCAAAGGGGTAGAAGTCGCCAGCATTAAAGCTTGGCGGCGGCAGGAGACTCGGCAGTAAACGTAAAAGGGGCGGAATAATGGGCGTCATATTCCGCGCAGGGATTACCCACAACTACACAGATCACAAACACACACACACACACACACACACACACACACACACACACACACACACACACACACACACACACACACACACACACACACACACACACACACACACACACACACACACACACACACACACACACACACACACACACACACACACACACACACACACACACACACACACACACACACACACACACACACACACACACACACACACACACACACACACACCTAGCAAGCTTGCTTGAGCGCCTTCGGCGCGTCAAGTTGGAATCCTTACGTTTCTGAGCGAACTCCTCATATTATCCACTCGCCAAAAGCGAGGTTGGAGGGGTAAGCAAAAACTGACAAACGCAGGCCCCACCGTTTGCCCCCTTTTTGTACTCCCCCTTCGAATCCCTTCGTTCCGTCTCTGACGGCCCTCTTTTTTACCTGTATATTCTTCCCCATTCATCTGTTCCCCACCTTTTTCCCGTGACTTCGACGGATGCCTCTCCTTTTGCTCTGCTGCAAAAACAGCTCGGAGATAGCGGAACAGCCAAGAACGGAGCCACATGCGTTCTATCGACTTCCTAGGAATAGCGAAGAAACAGAAGGGATTCCAACACACACACACACACGCACACACACACACACACACACAGACGGGGAAGCATCGTCACGCGCGTCGTCGCAGACGAGCAGCCGGCCGCCGCCGCCGTCCCGAGGCTCGTCGGCGATCGGCCGCTCGGCGGACCCCTCGCCGGAAGGGTACGACGGAGCTTATGACCCCCTCTCCCACCACCACCACCACAACGACGGGCTGCGGGGCGAGGATGTGAAGACGCTGCCGACGCCTCCCCACGCGCCCGGCGGCCGCGGCGCGGCGCCGGACGCGCAGCAGCAGTGGAAGCTCGGCAAAATCGTCACCCTCGACGTGCCGACCGCCGACGGCGGGACGCAGCGCGTGCAGCTGCCCGAAGCTTGCGTCCCGAACGTCGAGGCGCTGATCGAGCAGATCCAAGAAGCGCAAGACAACCTCCGGCGAAAGGACACGCAGCTCTCTGCTGTCCTGAGCCTCGCCCAGAAGAACGACGCCGCGAAGAAGGATACCATCGACAACCGAGTCCGTTCGCTGACGGCGCAGGTGCACGGCGCGGAAGATGAGCTGGCCCGCGTGCGGGGTGAGTTGCACGACACCAAGTCGCGGCTCATCCGCGAAAAAGAGGCGCACCTGCACCAGCTGGCGCGCGGCGGCGGCGGGGCCTCTCCCGCCTTGCTCGGCGCAATCCCGCCGAGCGAGCTGAAGCAGCTGCCGAACTACTCGCCCGGCGGCCGCGTGCGCATATCGCCGCCCCGCGGCGGCAGGGGCGCCGCGGAGTTCCAGCTCGGCCACCTGCAAGCCTCCGCCTGCAAGCCGCCGGCGCAGCCGCCCGCCTTCCCCGCTCGCCCGGCCCCCGCGGCCAGAGAACCGGTTTGCGTTTTCTTTTTTGTATAAGCACCTGCTTTGTAGGAAATGCTTGAGGAGGCTGCAACTCCTCATCCCAAACTCTTCTGGTGTTGGTTCGGGTAGGTGCTCATCCTGCCATGCGCTTTGCTCCAATTCCCACGGTAAACCATAGTAAGCGTTCAACAATAATAGGGAATAGTTGACTGGACCTCTTGAGATTGTGCGGAGGAGTCGGGAGAACCGAACATATCCGACGGCGGTCACCCGGAGACCTTAGAACCGCGGATCCTCAAGCGAACTTTTACTCTTGTACACCCTGAGAAAGGGCCTTGGACATACCGCCGCTTATGCTCTATGACTCAAGCCGTGGTACAAGAACAGGAACATCCTGTACACGCGAAGAACAAGAAAACTGTTGTCGTTATCATTTTCATCACCTGTGGTCAGTTGTTGATTCTGATCGTCCGTTACTTTACTTCGTTTATCAGTGCAAGCCCCAACTCCGGAAATGTTCTTGACATCACAAGTACACGCATTACAGTAAAGCAAAACCTACGCATTGGCCGAGGCCTGGTGCTAGGCACCAAGCATGCACGAGAGGCTGTATTCTGTCGAAGCGTGCAACTAAGATTCCCAACACCCATCTTCATTGCAGGAAAGCGACTGGGCCGTGATGTCGCGAATTTGCCAAGATATATCGCAGCGCATCGACAACAGCTCGCGGTTCATGGTATGGCAACTGACACTGAACACTGATTAAGAGAGGCTGAAAAATGAGGGTACCCGAAGGGCAGGAAATGCACTACGTCTCGCTGGAGACCCGGTGCAGGTTTCCAGGACGCATGACGACAAACAGACTGAGCTGTTCACGCAATTATGCCTAAGTGCCTGGGTTTCCTGTCGTAGTGGAACGGATGGGGGACACCACCTCTCACAGTTTCACTGAGGGAGTTGATGCACCGAAAGTGGATAAAAGAACCAATCACACACACCTGAAGGCTGTGTGTGATTGGGTCAAAGAAAAAACATCAACATGCATGCGCGTAGGGGGCCCTGCCTCAGATACTATACTTGATCATAGCCAAAAGGCCGAGAAGGTATGTCCAGAATCAGGAGAAAGCAAAAGCAGGTTGTGGATGATCAAGCGCGGATGATGCATGCTGAAGACAGGAAACAAGAAAAAGGGTGGCCCAGGGGAAGACAGACTAAAGTCAAAAAGCGATTTTCTTCTTGGTGTCGGGCGCAATTACAAACTTGGCTAGCCGTAGTTAAAGTGTGTAATCATACCTACATCCCTCATACTACCCGCCTCACAGCCTCAATGGTCAACCGGAGACCCTAAATCACCGAACCTCTAAACCACAATAAACGCTAAAAAGTAGAGTTTCCCACCCTCCCTAACCCCCGGTGACCTCGTCCAAGCTCGTTCCCTGGGTTGAAGCAGTCACTCAACACTCCCGTCGAGTACAGCGGTCCTGATCGTGGGTAAGATCGGCAGCAAGACAACAGTACACCGATAAGCATACCCATTCGACAATGCCACCCCGGAGACTTCAAACCCGGACCCTCATGCGGACTCTTATTTCAAGAGAAAAACGAACTTCACAAACGCAAAAAGCGAACTTTCACTCTGAAAAAGGTTCGAAGAACACCAATCTGTACGTGCGTACGGGATTTCGTTGACCGCACTACCCTGAGCCCAAATCCTGGACGTGGTTTCTGGTGGCAAATTGGCAAATGAACGTGCTCAGAAGGTCCTACTTGGGTGGTTCAGTTTCCTTCACGAAAACAACCCATTCGAGCGCCAGGAAGCGCAATCATTTCGAAGTCGCAAGCAGTTTTCACCCTAAACCCCCAACGAACAGGCACCCCGCACTGACACGTACCAATTCTCGCCGCTGCCGGACCTATCACAGCAGCACTACAGTTGCTAGTTGGTGGGTGGTGAGCCCTCCGAACTACCTCCCTGGCCCTGGCCCACGCCTGATGCCGCAACCCCTCAACCCGGGCGGCGGCGCTTTGGCATGAGCCAGGAACCTCAAGGGGAGCAGCGCGAGAGGCATCATCCACGCTTCAAAGGCCCACCCACACTAATGCAACAAATTTACACCTGTTCAGCGTCTAGGTTAAGTGCACCTGCGGTGTACAGAATGCAAGTGGCAGTGGTGTACCGAGTACCGCTGAGGTTCTGCAGGCGCAGGTACAGGACCCCCGACAGTACGCGTCGATCCCGTACAACGAAGTCTAGACGAAAGTTCAAAAGAGGAGATCCGCGACGGTACGTAGAGGATTTCCGATTTACTCGAGCTAATCCCAACGGAAAGCCGAGCGGCCACTCGCTTGTTCTTGTTTCATTTCCTTGTTCACATCTTTTTGTATAAGCACCTGCTTTGTAGGAAATACTTGAGGAGACTGCCAGTTGCGAAATCTCAAAGGAGGTAAATGTGCTGTAGTTCACACGAAACACAGGTAGTGGCGGGCGTAAGCGTTCAACAAAAAAGACCCACTTTGTAGTTGTATTGTTTTCTCCCCCTCTAGCCTCCGTCGAAATGAGCACGACAGTCCCTCGAGTATTTTTTGCTTCTGCGTAGCCGTTACTGTTCGTTTTTTTTTTCTCTCACAATTGTCCCGGATTCTCAAGCGAATTTGGGCCAATAGACGTCTCCGCTGTGCTGAACGCTGCCTCAGGGCAGACCAGCCCGCGTCATGCGTGTTCCTTGCGTCGACGTTAGAAGGAGAAATTGTCATATTGAAATCCGAGATTCGACGCGGACAGGGCACGTGAGACCGGTGCGAGATGCCTTTGGATCGACTGACCCACGTCCAATTGCTGTTGACACGGAAACCTTCTCCACTTCGGCCTTCAATGTTCTCCATTGAATATTCGCTACTACAACCAAGACCTGCACTCGTCCGCGCTCCATCGAGGCTCACACCAACGACTTCGCAGCGCACATCACGCGGCTAACTATAAGTGGACCTTGAGCATCATCCATTTTCGGGACCGGCGCATTCGGCAGGTGAGTTGTTACACACTCATTATCGGATGCCGACTTCCATGGTCACCGTCCTGCTGTCAAGATGAACCGACACCCTTTGTGGGATCTGATGAGCGATCACTCGGACGCCTTAAGTCAGCTCTCGGTTCATCTCGCGTTGCCAGACCTGCTTACCAGAAGTGGCCCACTTAGAACCAGGATTCTACGTCAGGGTTCAGTGAAGTAACCCCGAGCTCACGCCCATGTAAAGTTTCGAGGCATCCGTGTCGTGCACGTACTCCCCTAGCTGCTCCCTTGTAGGAGTTGGGGTCTTCGGATCCGTACACGGTGCGCTAATGCCACTCACTAGTGCATGTTACCAGTAAGATTTCTTACTAGGAAATGACATCTGTTAACGCAGGTGTCCGAAGGCAAGCTCTGAGGAGATCCCCCGGAGCCGTGGAGGGTTACCGGGAGGTGTCTTGTTTTTCAAAACGCGCCATCGATTTTGTATCATGCCTTCGAGTGGCGAGTTCTTGTTTTTCACATCCACACACACACACACACACACACACACACACACACACACACACACACACACACACACACACACACACACACACACACACACACACATCACACAACACACATCACACACACACACACACACACACACACACACACACACACACACACACACACACACACACACACACACACACACACACACACACACCACACACACACACACACACACACACACACACACACACACACACACACACACACAAACACCACACTCCCCTTCCCCCGTGCACTGTTGTCAACCCTCATAGAAAATTGTGTGGAAAGCGAGGTTCCGTTGAAAAAAAAAAAAACTCTGCGCTCTATGTTAATAGCGAGCCTACCGCTTGTGCCGCGTGTACGACGGGAAGAGCAGCACCGACCGCGATGCTGTGTGAGTGAGGAGTTCATCAAGGAGGGCGAGAAAGAGGAGGAGAAGAGACGGCGAAAAAGCGCTTCTTTGGGCTGAGCCAAGCGTACGGGGGTTCGCAGGGCAAGGCCAGTTGGCAAAGACGCTGCACGGTGAGGTCCGACCCCAGAAGCTGGTGAGTTAGAGAGGGTGTGCCCGAGCCACACCCGAAAAGCGGGTGTGGCACCAGCTTTTTAACTCCAGCTTTAACTCCAACTCAGGGTCAGGGCTTACGCTCCGTTTTCGGTCTCAGAGAAAATACGTGTGGTCCACGTGTGGGCCCGAGGGCCCACACGTGGTTAAGGTCCGAGGGGAAAAAACACCTTTTCCCTTATGTGCGACGGCAAAAAACAGCGTCGCTGCCGACACCTGGCTGTGTGGCCTTGACCACCAGTGGGCCTAGACTCCCCTGCATGTGGACCAATAAATCAAAATCCACATGTGGTGCCTGTGGATCCACACGTGGGGGGAACAAAATCCAAAAAGAATTAACGTGTGGAAATCCACACGTTCCACACGTGGAGCGTAAGCCCTGCTCCAGCTTCTGAGGCTGGACTTCGCCGTGCAGACGCTGCTCGTGGCAGTGTGGGGGGGCTGGCCCCCGGGGCCGGTGACGGACTCAGCCCCGAAGAGTCCCGGCCGCCGCTCCAGCTTCTCCGGGGGTCGGAATGGATTACTGGACGAACAGCGGACACTGTCTACTGCTTTCCCAGTCGGTGAATCCCAGCCTCGGCAGCCCCGCAGGCCGAGGCTCTTCGGGGCTCGGAATGGATCTGCTGGATCAGCAGAGGGCACTTTCTACTGCTTTCCCAGTCGGTGAATTCCCAGCCTCAGGCCGAGAATGGAATCTGCTGGAACAACCGAGGGCTACTGCTTTCCCAGTCGGTGAATTCCCCAGCCTCGGCAGCCCCGCAAGCCGAGGCTCTTCGGGGCTCGGAATGGATCTGCTGGAACTACAGAGGGCACTTTCTACTGCCTTCCCCGCATCCATTCTAGGACCCAGAGAGCCCCGGCACTGCGGGGCTGCCGAGACTCGGCACCGGCCAGCCCTGGGGTCAGCTCCCACACTGCTCGCGGCAACCGCTTGTGGCGATGTGGAGCCTTTGGGCGACCGCCACATCATGCGCGCCAGATACGCTGTCGGGCTGCCATGGGTGGCCCCCTTCTGTTGTGTCGCTTGTTCCGTTTATCTTGCACTCTCGATTGTTGTGAACGTCTTCACCCCGTTTACTCCTTTTTTCTATCGGCTTGCATATAGCACCCGAGTAGCAGGAAGCAATGTGCCGTGTCCCCAAAACGAAACCATTCAGAGTATCTTGGTATTCATCAGCAGGCCACGATAGCACAACTGTGGGGCGCTAGCGTCTGGCAAAGGGCAAACGTGCCGAGAGTTGTTTTTAGTTGTAGTTAAACGTTAGTTGTCCCGACACCCGCAATCGTGGGCAGCAAACCTGTCTCCTGCTGGATTCGCATACTTTCAGGAAAACCACCCAGAAGAAAAGTCAGGCACCGGGAACTTCCTGACGAGCACACTACCCAACACTAGCCAACAGTCGGAGTTTAGCGCCGAAACTCCTGGCTTGTCACGCCGAAGCAGAACGACCACACCCCGCCCAATCCCAAACGCCCCCTAACGCGTCAGGGGGCTTCACAAGGTTTCACAAACCGAGCTGCACCTTCTCATTGTTTTTACATAATCGCCAATTTGGAAGGAAATGCTCGACGAAGAATCCCAAGTGCTGTAACTACCGAACCACGTGTTGAACGGACGTGAGGTCATGCGGTCTACCCGGACACGACAAATCACACAAACACAACAGGTCAAAGTCCTGAGTGAGAAAACAACACACGGTGGTGTAAGCGAAGTATAAATCAGATTGTGTTTGTATTGTATTTGCCCCCTTTACCTCTGTATTTCCTCCCTCCCATTCGGAGTCAAAGCAGCTACGTCGAGTATTTTTTCAACCCCTCCCTAACTCAAGCCTCTACGGTCAACCAGAGACTTTAAAATACCGACCTTCTATTCAATCCCAAACAACGCTTGAAAAAAGAAAAAAAAACAGTCCCGGACATGGCTAGCCATAACCCATAACGAAAGCGTGCACTAAATGTACAACCCGTAACCACATAGCCCTTTCTTGCTCTAAGAG